AGACATGAACAGACATTTTTCCAAAGAAGACATCCAAATGGCCAACATACACATGAAAAAGTGCTCAACATTGCTGGGCATCAGGGAAATCCAAATCAAAACCTCAATGAGATATCACCTCACACCAGTCAGAATGGCTAAAATTAAGAAGTCAGGGAAATGACAGATGTTGGCGGGGATGTGGAGAAAGGGGAACCCTCCTACACTGTTGGTGGGATTGCAAGCTGGTGCAGCCACTCTGGAAAACAGTATGGAGTTTCCTCAAACAGTTGAAAATAGAGCTACCATATGATCCAGCAATTGCACTACTGGGTATTTACCACAAAGATAGAAATGTAGTGATCTGAAGGGGTACGTGCACCCCGATGTTTATAGCAGCAATGTCCACAATAGCCAAACTATGGAAAGAGCCAAGATGTCCATCAACAGATGAACGGATAAAGAAGAAGTGGTATATATATGCAATGGAATATTATGCAGCCATCAAAAGGAATGAACTTGCCATTTGCAATGATGTGGATGGAACTGGAGGGTATTATGCTGAGCGAAGTAAGTCAATCAGCGAAAGACATGTATCATATGATCTCACTGATAGGAATTCTTAATCTCAGAAAACAAACTGAGGGTTGCTGGAGTGGTGGGGGGTGGGAGGCATGGGGTGGCTGGGTGATAGACACTGGGGAGTGTATGTGCTATGGTGAGCAGTGTGAATTGTGTAAGACTGTTGAATCACAGACCTGTACCTCTGAAACAAATAATGTAGTATATGTTAAAAAAAAGAAGATACTAGGCAGGGAAAAATGAAGGGGGGGGGAATCGGAGGGGGAGACGAACTATGAGAGCCTATGGACTCTGAAAAACAAACTGAGGGTTCTAGAGGGGAGGGGCATGGGGGGATGGGTTAGCCTGGTGATGGGTATTAAGGAGGGTACGTATTGAATCGAGCACTGGGTGTTATATGCAAACAATGAATCATGGAACACTACATCAAAAACTAATGATGCAATGTATGGTGATTAACCTAACATAATAAAATAAAAAATAATGCAAAAAAATAAAGTGTACCTTATAATTTATATGTCAATCTAGCCATCAAGTCTAAAATGGCAATTGAAAAATGTTTTCAAATGTCCTTATATTTGTCACTGCTCATGGAGGGCACTGCACTCTTGGATGTGGGTAGAGGTTACAGAGAGGAAGAATGGAGTCAGTGGAAAACTTAGCCCTTCCTAAATGGTTGGGTACAAGAGTGGCTTTAGAATACAGGTATTGCTGGCTGTCTATAAAAAAGCTAAGCCCCCTCAAGGTCCTGGAAACCTTGCTTCCAAAATTCCTTAGAGACTTTACGCTATCTGTAGCCCCCTCCCAACTTGAAAGTATATAATGGGCCACTCCCCATGACCCTGGTGCAGCTCTTTCTGCCCACGGGTCTTTTCCCCATGCTTTAATAAAACCACCTTTTTGCATCCCCCCCCCCCCAAAAAAAAGGCTAAGCATCCTTCAATTTTCCTCTGTATCAGAGGGACTGGGCAGCAGGGATATAGTGATGGAGATTATGTATAGGCATGGAAGCTCTGTGACTCTCAGATGATAATTCTGCAAAGGTCTTGGGGAGAAGTTCCTCCAACACTGTGGGGGAATTCCATAACTCTCCAATAAGGATCAAGGAGAGGGAAGAAATGAGAAGAATTGAGGGGAAAAATACCTGCATGCCTTCCTGTCCAGATATCCCAATTCCAATGTCAGCAGCTTGAATCATGCTTACGTCATTTGCTCCATCACCTGAAAAGAGAGAGATCATGAGTTGTCTTCCTGGTCTAACGGCTGCATGACAATGAAAAGGGTGTTACATGAATGGCTCTAAAGTGTCCCCATTTGTACATAACTGAATAGTTTTAACATTGTTCTGAATAGTCCTATAGGAAAAGTCATTGCTACAGTATTTGGCCTGATAGAGGTCTTTTCTTCTTTGATAAGAAGCTCTATTTATTATTTGACAAATGTTTATTGTGTTTTTTCTAGGCACAATATTAGATATTGGGAATACAACAGTGAGTGAAGCTGGGGCAGTGCTTTACAGTTTACAAAAAAAGACCTTCACAAATGTTACAAATGGAGAATTTGAGCAACATAGAGATTCTGCAAGGGTAAACCAGCTAGGGAAGGGGCCCAGGAGCATTGGCACGAAGATGTTTGCTACCTTTCCTAACTGAGTATAAGCTAAAATGTTTATCATATTAAGACCATTGGAATGTCTGGACAGCTAAATCATCAGATTGTCAATGGTGTCCAAGGACAGGGATGGTGTTCAATTTTGTTTCTGAATATAAGAAAATGGTATTGACTGATTTTTTTTTTTTTTTTGGTTGAGGAACATTTAGTCACACTGAGTTCCCATTTAATGAACTAAGGTGTTTCAGGAAATTGGAGGTTAGTGCATGGAAATACACAGCCTCCAGCACTGTCATATAGGTTTTCTGTGATGTTGGAAATATCCTATATCTTTACTGTCTAATATGGAAACCACTAGCCCCAGGTGACTACTGGAATGCGGCTGGTGAAATTCTATTTAATTTTAAATGTCAGTACCTATATATAGCAAGGTGGCAACCATTTTGGACAGCACAGCTCTATATACTGAGGCTTTCCTTACAAACCTGGCTTTTCCCAAAGCTTTATCTTTCAGACTAGAGATTAGCAAACTTTTTCTGTAAGGGGCCAGATAATAAATATTTTAGGCTTTGTGGGCCAAGAAGCAAAATTGAACTGTTTTTGTTGAGAGGCAAATATTCTTTTACATGTTTTATAGTTAAAAACATAAAAATCATTCTTATATCCCTGCAAAAACATGTGGTGGGCTGGATTCAGCCTGGTGGCCATGGTTTGTGGACTGCATTGCCTTCATTCTCCTCCTGGCCCCACCTCTTTTTCCAGTAGGTTCTCATAATAGAATGCAATTGAACTAGAAGGTATTATGCTAAGCGAAATAAGTCAATCAGAGAAAGACATGTATCATATGATCTCACTGATACAAAGAATTCTTAATCTCAGGAAACAAACTGAGGGTTGCTGGAGTGGTGGGGGGTGGGAGGCATGGGGTGGCTGGGTGATGGACATTGGGGAGGGTATGTGCTATGGTGAGCGCTGTGAATTGTGTAAGACTGTTGAATCACAGACCTGTACCTCTGAAACAAATAATACATTATATGTTAAAAAAAAAAAAAAAGAAGGTAGTAGGAAGGGAAAAATAAAGGGGAGGAATAGGAGGGGGAGACGAACCATGAGAGACTATGGACTCTGAGAAACAAACTGAGGGTTCTAGAGGGGAGGGGCATGGGGGCCTGGTGATGGGTATTAAGGAGGGCACATACTGAATGGAGCACAGGGTGTTATATGCAAACAATGAATCATGGAACACTACATCAAAAGCTAATGATGCAATGTATGGTGATTAACATAACAAAATAAAATTAAAAAAATATATATTAGATAACAGAATATGGAATTGGGGGAGAGAATTTTCTTCCCTTAGTTATTTGGCAATGAAATTAATCTTAAAATTTTGTCACTGTAAGTAGCCATTATTCTTGTAATGATTTTTTTTATGATAGTGTAGCAGTACATTATTTTTATCTTCCCTATGGAGAACAAATCCACCCTTTAACCTCTTCTGTTAGCAAAACAATGGAAGTAGAGGTGTGGAATCATGCCATTGTTCACCCTGCTGGTTTTGTTTCTGCTTCTATGGCAGTGGAGCCAATTTCTTACCTCAGGGAGTCAGTCCTGGGCTGTTGTCTTGTGTGTGTCTAAAGTTTTGAAGAGGACAATTCAGGGAATAAAATTAGGATGCAGTTGCTAAAGCTCTGCTCCCTGCATTCTTTTTGCCCAGTCCCTCTTTTTTTTTTTTTTTTTTTTTTGGTTTGAATTGCTTTTACCTGAAGACTGGGAGAAAAAACAATGTGTAAATAGGCTTCTTAATTTGAAATGCCAGGAAGGAAAATCTCTTTCCGTGTCTGTGTAGGAAGGATAGAACCTGGAACCATCTGTAGGAATACCTCTAAATGAATGCAATATTTACTATGTGCTTGGTATGTGCAGAGCATAGACAAAATGGTAAGACTGATATGGTCCCTCTATTCAAGGAACTCATGGTCTCCTGAGTAGGCCATCACAGAAAGCATACCAGGCCTCTGCAGCTCTGAGGGCTGTGTGCTACAGGAGTTCCCACAGTGAAGGAAGGTTAGGTGGGATTGGAACAAAGGGTGTTTTACAGAGGAAATAGCTTGTGCAAAGGCCTGGGAATGAGAGAGATAGGAAAAGCGTCATGGAGAATGGTAAGCCATTCCATTTGGTTAGAGCACAGAGTGCCAGAGGTTGGGGGAATGGACAGTAGCTGTGGTGAAGGATGTGGCCTTAGGGTTAGTGGAGACCAGATCGTGAAGATTCTTATAAACCAGGTTTGCTTGTTCCTGGAGGGTTTGATGTAGGTACAGTTTTTATTTCTCTGCCTTAACCACGGTTAAAGTTTAGTCTCCTATGAGGAATTTTTTCAACAACTGACAGGTCAGCATTTGTTGAGCATATGCTCTATGCTGGGCCTTGTATTTAGGAACGAACATATGGGATAGGCTCAACTTCTACAATCTCCCCACCAGCCATCAACACTCAGCAGAATATCAAATCCACAAACACCTGAGCTTTATATTATTATGCCAGGTGTTAAGTATCAAAAGGGGAATGGTCTGTATCCCAGAACTGAATTGGCCTGAGTGTATATTACTGAGTTATGTGAATGTTCTGAATTTGAGGCTCCTTCTGGATTTAACCTCCATTCAAGTCTTAATTTTTCTGAGTGACCTGCTAATCCTGAGAACTTTGATTCACTCTCCCACTTTCCCACTTAGCCTCTGCTTCATCTCCTGGCTGCCACGTTTTTGCTGTCACTTTGAACTCTCTCAGTCTAAGACAGTGATCCTCAGCCTGGGTATCTCGACTTTGATACATGACCTCCCACCTCTGGTCCAGGTCTCTTGTCAGATCAGCCTCACAAGCTGCACCCACATCTCATCATGATGAGTACCTATGGAAAGGGTCATGACGCTCAACTTGTCTCGCACCAGCTTGACTATCATACTCTTCTGGAGCGGGGTGGAACGACAGCACAGGACAGACCGGCAATACTGAGTCAACTCCAAAAATTTCATCTCCAGTTTTCCCTGGAAAATGGCATTCAATGTCTTCCCATCGATGACCAATCCAACTTCTGGAATTGCAGCTCTTGAGGTGGGGGGTAGTGTCTCAGAAGGTAGACAGAATCCAGAGAGCTTGCGGTCTGGCTTCTGTGGTCCATGAAATTGCTTTACTTCTTCCAGTGCACAGTTGAGGATGGATTCACAAGTTTCCTATAGAGTTAGAATAATAAATATGGTATTAGTAAGTAACACTGGAAATGTAGGTTAAAGATCTCACTTTATCCTTTAGTAAAATAGTTAGGAAACTCTACCACCATAGAGATTACCCAGGAATCATTCTCTGATTTCTCTCATTTCTCTGCAGTATTTAAAAAGGCATGAAAGATATATTAATTTAAAGCAAATTAATGGCAAAATAGAGACGGCTAGGGAATGGGAGTGGAAGTAGCTCAGCAAGATGGGGACTGATTCAAGGATGGTGTAAGCTAATAAATAATAGAATGTGATGGTCAATAATGAAAATATGTGATGATGGTATAGTGCTTTCTATTTCTCACAAGTCCTTTTAGTTCTCCTGAGGAAACTGAGTGATGAGGAAATTGAAACAGTGAAATCATTAGTAACTTGCCCTAACTCATCCAACTTATAGTGGAGGCAGATCATTACTACTCAAATTATGGCTTTTAATTGAAAAAATACATTGTATGTTTATCTGTTGGTATGAATGTGTTGGTCATATTGGTTAAAACTGACTATGAATGTGAACATCTTACTGATGTAAAGAAACTTCCTACTGATTTTTTCTGATGTTTACCTTGAAACATAGTGAAGAACTTATTTGCTCTTATCAATTTTCCTCTTTTAATTATATCAGAAATAAAGTCACATTTTGGTTCTAAATATATCCTTAGTACCTCTTTAGATTTTGCAACATTACTTTCAAATAAAGATAGAGAAAAGTTGTGGCAGTCAACTGTATTATCAATTTTAATAGCATTGTTTTGTTCACATTTTTGTTTTTATAAACTTAAAAAAATTTAAATTCAATTAATTAACATATATTATTAGTTTCAGAGGTAGAGGTCAGTGATTCATCAGTCTCATATAATACCCAGCGCTCATTACATCAAGTGCCCTCCTTAATGCCCATCACCCAGTTATCCCATCCCTCCACCTTCCTCCCCTCCAGCAACCCTCAGTTTCCTGTGATTAAGAGTCTCTTATGCTTTATCTCCCTCTCTGATTTTGTCCACATGATCTTTATTTAGCTGTGTTCTTTTACCCATGGCAAATATGATTTTCATTTACTGTAGTGCTAAAAAATTCTAAAAATAAATTTAAGTGTTTAAAGTCAGTCAATTTAAATGAAATGATTAAATAAAAAAACTGTACAGGTAATATGTGGTTTTAGGCAAAAATTGTGAAGATTATTCCGATATGATAGGTTTGGGGACCATTGATCTAGAAGCTTCTGAGAATATTTGGAATCATTCTGGAGTGAGTATAACTGCAGTTAATCATTCCTGAGTCTTCCCTTAGAGGATGCTAAATTGAGTGTTGCAAGCAATAGGGTATGCCCAGAACCTAGAGGGGTGACAGGAAGTAGTTCCAGGAGTGGGTGGTTATGCCTGAGGCACTTATCTGGGAAAGAGATCAAGACAGTCCTTGCTGGGAGTTGGGGCCTGCACAAATTATATAAATTTCTCCAACATATGGCTGCAGGAAGTCATTGGAGATATAAGTTTCAAAATAAAATCTCTGAATTTACTTATTTAAAAGTGTGATATAATAACCACAATAGTTACCATTCATTTAACCTTTAGCATATGCCAGGTATTGTGGTAGGGAGCCTTTAAGATGGTTCTCAATGATCCCTGCTCTCTTGGGATGCATGCCCGTGTGTAATCATTTCCCTTGAGTGTGAGCCACATCTAGACATTCCTTTCTAATGTAGAGAATTTTGCAAAAGTGATGGGATGTCACTTCCCAGATTAGCTTATACAAAGACTATGAGTTCCAATTTGGCACTCTTTTTCCTCTCTCTTAGATGGCTTGCTGTGGGGGAAAGCAGCTGCCATGTTGTAAGGAAGCTGCTCTATGGAGAGGCCCATGTAGTGAGGAATTGAAGTTTTCCAGCAATCATATCTGTGAGCTTGGAAGAAGGCCTTCTCTCCATGCCCAAACAACCCACCTGTTGAACCTTCAGATGAGCCCACAGCCGTGACTGACAGCTTCACTGCAGCCTCCAGAAAGACCTTGAACCAGAGGTACCCAGCTAAGCTGCCCCTGGACTCCTAACCCACAGAAACTGTGGGATAATAAATGTTGGTTGTTTGCAGTCGTTAAATTTTGGAGTACTTTCTTTTTTAAAGTCTTTTTTTAAATAATTTTTTATTGTTATGTTAATCACCATACATTACATCATTAGTTTTTGATGTAGTGTTCCATGATTGATTGTTTGTGCATAACACCCAGTGCTCCACGCAGAATGTGCCCTCTTTAATACCCGTCACCAGGCTAACCCATCCCCCCACCCCCCTCCCCTCTAGAACCCTCAGTTTGTTTTTCAGAGTCCATCGTTTCTAATGGTTCGTCTTTTGGAGTACTTTCTTAACTAACACAAATATTGTGTTATTAAGTATTGTTTTTCTGTGATCTTATTTAATCCTCCCAATAGCATCTGAAATCTTTCTAATCCCTATTTTACATATAAGGAGGGTGAAGTTTAGGGAGGTATGGTACCTGGACCATATTAAGTTTTCAATATATGTTACTAATAACGACAATAATCATTACTGTTATTAGTTTCTATCTAATACTTTAGTCTCTTCTAAATTCCTTGACAGACCAGCCCTTTCAGTGATGGGTTAGTAATTCTCTCCTTTTATGGATGTGAACTCTGAGGTCTAGAGACCTGCTTATAGCTTTAAGGTACATAACAAAGAAACAGTAGGCCTATATTAATCTATAATGAGTTAGGCAGATTAAAACCCTTGGAGGAAATATTCACTGAATACATAATTACATTAAACTGGGGTTTAAGTAAATCTGAGATTTGGAATGGATTTCCCCAGTTTCTGGCTTAAAATACCCATGAAGCCACCACTTTTTCCCTGGTAAGGGGGTGAGAAAGACTAATCTTAGAGGTTTAGTGGGCTCAGGGTGTGGACAGGACCTAACTTTCAAATACCATCTGAGAAGGTCCCAGACAGCTTTAAATGAGTCAAAAGTGACTGAACAAAACATGAAATGTGACCCACTGTTCCTTAGGAACGTTGGCTAATTAATTGCTAAACATCTTCAGCTTCCTAGAGAAATGCATTGCATTTAACAGAAACCACAAAAGCCCACTCTATCCCTCTTGGGCTGACTGACTCAGAAGTTTTCCCATGTCCTCCTTCTGGAATCACCTGGAGTGAAATAATCATTGCAAATAGAATTTCCATTGCAAGCGGGGCAGGCAGATATCAACGTTATTACAGCGATCAAGAACTCAAGCAAGCAGCAAATTACTTTCTTTCCTAAGCATAATATTAATGCCAAAGATTTCCCAAGATTATTTTCATTTTGAAAATTCACTGGGGTTTAATCTAATCATAACATAATCTGTGCCCTGGACAAGAAAGTGATTTTTCCAATTCTTATAAAGGGCCTCAGGCACTATTCATAGTATACACTACTTTTTAAAAAAAATATGTGTATGTGGATTCTTTATGGAATAAAAACCAGATTTAAACCTCCTAAACTTCTATTCTGGGTCCAATCAGTCTTAAGCAAAACTGAAAGAGTGAGGTTCCAGCATCTTCCCTGCCTCCTTTTTCTGTGCTGTTCTTTCCTGTCTTCTTCCCTCTTCTCCATCCTTTTCCCCATGGTACGCCTAGGTCTCCCAGGGACCTCCTCCCACCACCCTCCAATACGGTGCTTTTCCTGCTTGTTTCCTTTTGGTGGGAGCATACATCTCAATGCCTACTTCCCATATTCATCAGCCAAGATGTTGGAACTTCACTTTCTTCAGTTTGCATTATGAAAATAGATTTTTTTCTCCTAAATATAAAATTGTATTATAACTTTGAATACTCTTCCTCAGACTTTACACAGTCCTCTCTCCAAACCCCATCCCCTGCCACCCACAACCTACTGGGGGTTGAAAACTGCAGTTTTAGGACTCTGCTTCTCCCTTTCTCTTTCTCTCTCTCTCATCCCATCAAAACATACTGGTCTCATGAATAATTCCCTTCAGGTTTTATTCTGTGGCAAACCAATTTGACATATAAATTGGAGCTGAAATTTTAAACTCAGAATCATTTTAATTAACTTAAATGGGGCTTTGTCAATGGGAGAGTTAATCCAAAGTATAAGAAACTAACAACTGGGGTTCTGTGAAAAAATAATGTGGTATAATGCAGATGCACTGGCCTGGCAGGAGGACAGTGTTATAGATTTAGTTCTGTTAGAAACTACCAGGGTGACCCTGGGCAAGTGACTTAGTCTCAAGGGTCTTTAGTTTCCTCATTTGTAAAATGCGGAGATTGGGCCAAGGATGGAATTTGGAAGATCAAAACTTTCTAACATGTACTACTTAAATGTAATATAATCAAACTGGTCAATGATGCATGGGGATAAGGTGGATGACTTCTGGGGACCTCTGAGCTCCAAGGTTCAGTGATATTCCAGGGGTAGAGGTGCTTCCCTGCGTACCCAAATCCCACCCATCAGTCTATCTCTTGTTGGCCTAGGGGCTGTTTTGCACTTGGACATCTGGTCCCTACTTTGGCCTCACCTGACTTTCTGTATTAATGGAGTAAACAGTGTCAGTCTGATCTAACAATCTGCAGGAATAGGCGATATTGACTGCTGTCTCCTGCTTATCTCCAGTCAAGACCCAGAGCTGGATCCCAGCCTCCCGCAGAGCGGCGATTGTATCTGGAACCCCTTCTTGTAGCCGATCTTCAATCCCAGTGGCTCCTGGAGTGATCAAAGACACCAGAGCTTATAATTAGAGTGAAAAACTGCTTAAGATCTCTAAAGCCCCATCAAGCCAGATAGTGATTATTAACTATCTCCCATGTTCTAGGCTGTCCTAAGCACCCAGGATATAGCAGTGAAAAGGAGCCTGTCTCTACCCTCTTGCAGTTCAAAAGCTTGTTGAAAAAGGATTTATAACTGAACTATAGGAGAAGAAAAGCCCAGGGTGCCAGGTGAACATATACTAGGAGACCTGAACTTCATCTAGAAAATCAGGGACAATCTTGTTAGGAAGTGCCATTTGAGCTCAGACCTGGACGATAAGGCCAAGAAGTGGTAAAGGAAGAGAATTCCAGGTAGAGGGATGAGCATGTATGAAGACCCAGAGGTCAGAGTAGAAGAAGGCACAGAAAGGGAGGCAGAGGGTGGTGAAAGATTGGGCCAGGAAGGGAGGTAAGGCTGCTGGATCATGCAGAGCCTTGTGAGGGCATTACAGGATTTCAGAATTATTTGGTAGATAAGAAAGCTATTAAGGGAAGTTAAGGAGAGTGACAGGATCAGTTTTGAGTTTTAAGAAGATCATTCTAGAGAAGGACTGGAGATTGGGGGAAGCAGGATGAGATTAGAGGCTGAGGAGGGGTGTGGAGGAGTAGCCTGGGTGGGTCTAGCAGCAAGGAAATGGAGAGAAGTGGAGAGACTTTGCTCTGTAACAGCTCATGGCAGAATAGGGACTCAGGTTTTTGATAATATTCTTAGAAATAAATATGCAGACTCCATAATTTTTGAATGATCTCAAGCTTTGCACCAACCTTGATGAATATATGCCCAAATATCCAATAGTTGCTAAGTGATTAAACATAAATTAATCTGCATTTAAGTTGAGATTCACTTCAGACCACAGACTAATGGCTACCCATTTTACTCTGGGCAGGAGCAAGGCATTTCATTTCTTTCAATAATCCCTAGTGACAATAGGCTGGCAAAGCAGTTACACTGGATGCATATTGAAAAGATCATTTCATAGTGTGGGACCTAGTGTGAATGCATTGCAGCTTTAGTGGCATGGCAGATTCTTGGTGGTAAGATGAAATCTCTTCCCAGCCCCAATCCTCTCCTCCCCAAGCCACCTTGAGGGAACAAAAATAATGACTCTATCCCAAAATGTGCCTCTTTTGTATTGCAGGTCCAAATGCTCAAACAACCCCATGAAAAATGATGGTTCAGTCCTTGTCTTTCCCTCCAAGGGTTAACCTGGAAGGTGAGATTCTGAAGCTGATTTATATTACAGGGAAGCAGAGTTGAGGAAAAACACATTTATTTGTGTGAAAGAAAAAATGAAACAGAAAGGTTGTGAAAGTCTTTCCCGGAAAGGAAAGCCAACAGATCCTGACAAGCATGTTCTCTTTCATGCAGAACCAGCTGAGGAGTACTTCTTACTGAGACCAAAGGGCTCGCTGAAACAAAAGCAACCTCAGGGGGGTGAGGAGGGAGTCAGGTGCCCTAATGGGATAACATTCTGTAGTCTTGTGTGTGGATAGAGCTGTCTGACCTGGCTACCTTCTGGCTCCTGTTAAAATAAGTTCTCATGGCCAGCTTTCAGAGAGGCTTTGGGAGGCAGCAGGCAAAGGCCCTGGAGTCAAAACACAGGAAAAGAAAAGGCTGAAGGAGGTGGGGATCAGGTCTCCCCCTGTTTGCCACCCTTCCTGCCAAATCTTGCTGCTACCTTTAATATGTAAAGGCATCACTGTCTTAGAGCAATCTTGGTTCTTTCCCCTTGCACCCCTGCCTCTCTGAGAGCTTGGAGCAGTCTGATTTATATGGAGGAGAAGCTAGGGCTCAGGGAGGTGAGGGGATGGGTCCCTGAGCACACAGCACAAGACCAGGATTTGGCCCTCATCCCCAGCTCGGCATTGCTGCCCAAGATGAAAGAAGGCTTTAACCATGTGGTCAGCACATGCATGCATCAGATGTTGTCTTTTCCAGATCTTTCTCCCAGCTCTGAGGTGATTAACCCCGATAAACAAAGCCTCCTCCTTTCCCCTGGGTAATGCTTTACCTCCCACAGAAACATAAGACTATCTCTTAGCTGGTCTCCCTGCTTCTCATCTTTACCTCAGTGTATCAATCAAACTCCCATACAGCAGCAGTTTTTTGTAAAGCATGAGTCTGTCGCTGCTTTTACTCCCTTCTCTCTAAACCATTAGCATATGATTTATGTGTCCTTCATAACCTGGGTCACACTGAACTTTCTCTCCCATACTCTGTGGTCCAGCCACGGCAGACCTTGGGGTTTCTAGCCTGTCCAGGCTGTCTCACATCTAGCTCTTCTTTCAGGCCCCTTCCTCCGCCTGAAAACTCTTTCCTTTGCCTGACCAGCTCCTCTGCTCTGCTCAGTTCCTGCCTTCCAGCACTCTTCTTGGCCCCAGTCTAGGTTGGCAACTTCTACTTTTGCTCCTATACCACCAGATAAATCTTCCAGCCCAGCCCTCATCACATTTGGTTGAAATTCCTTGTTAAATCATCCAATTTCCTTGCTAGATTGAGCTCTGAGAGGATAGGGCCTATGGCTCTTGTTCCCTTGTCCCAATGGCTAGCATGCTACTTGGCACATAGTAGGTGCTCAATAAACATTTGCATAAATGGAGAAGTAACCAAGCTCCCAGGCTTCATCTGGCAGTAAGTGTGGGAATGCTCTTGGGCGTCCTCAGAAAGTGGCTTGTGAAGTCTGGATTGGATATCCCCACCATTTGTGACAAATACCTGGAAGGGCACTCCAGGGAAGGCTATTAATTGAGACACATCTGCAGCAGTGTCAGAGTCAGGGCCAAGAATTCCCTCTACAGCTTGTAGCATTCCTTTTTATTTATTTTTTTTTTAATTTAGTGATGACTTATTTTTAGCTACCGAGTAAAGTGAGTTGATTCTCTAGATGCTGTGCGGTCTCCATCAGAAGGTCATCTCGGTTGTCGAGGGATGCCTCTGCCTCACACCGGAAACTGACCCATCGCCGGAAGTCGTCTTCGGTTATAACCTGCAGGACAGGAAGAGGCTCTTTCCCAATGTAGGGTGAATCCCACCCCATTTTTATATGCTGGGCATCCTATTGGCTTGTTTTAGCTTCCCTATACAATTAGATGTAGGAATTACAATACCCTACACAATTATTTCTCCTCAATGATTTTTTGTGAATGCAAGAATCAATGAAATATTGATCCTCATGTTCCATTATCACCATTGAGCCCCTGCTGTGCTCTAGGCACTGGAGTATAACAGTGATCAAGATGGACAAGATCCCTTCATGGCTGGGCTTATGTGCTAGTGGAGGGTGAGAGACATTAATCCAAGTAAATTATTTAAAAGGACAGATAATTTTAAGAGGTTCTTTACAGAAAACAAAGAAGGTGACATGATGGAGTGTGACTAGATGGGGGGGAAGCTGTGGGGTTATTTCATTTGGATCTTCAGTTCTCTTAGACAAAGTGACATGCAAGTTGAGATCCAATGATGGGAAGGGGTCAGTCATGGAGAGGGACAAATGCAAAGGCCATGAAACAGCAATGAACTCAGCTTTCTTTCTGTTCACTTGAATACACCAGTTGGCTAAAGGATGGAGAACCAGATAGAGAAGAGGCAGCAATGAGCCTGGGAAGGTAGGCAGCAGTCAGATCTTGTATAGCCTGGTAGACTATTCCACCAGCTATTGGATGTATCCAATAGCTGGAATAATCTGACTGGAGGGCATATCTTCCTCCCTTGGAGTCCATAGCACATTTAGACCCCTCTGTTGGCATCCTTATAGCAATAAATGTCTCTTATAGCAATAAATGATTCTTTTGTCCAACAATCAAATATTCCTTGCTTTTCCTTCTGCACATGGCACTATGGGGAAAACCAAGGGGACACAGGTAGGCCTTTGCTCTTGAGGAATTCATAATCTTATTAGAGGAGGCAAAATAGGCACAAATAATTTCAATGGAAAATAGAAGGTGGTAAGGATATACTCACAATCTATGGATAGTAAGCACTGGTCACTGTCTCAGGTACTGCATATGTGTTACTTTATTCAATCTCCATGATAACTCTATGAGGTAGGGAGAATTAGTGCCATTTTACAGATAAGAAAATCCCAAACTCAGAGAAGGTGAAGAAACTTTCCCAAGGTCACAAAACAGGTAAATGGTGAGATTGGGACTTGTACCCAGGTAGGTCTGAATTTAAAGTGGGTGTTCTTAAATTTTGTTGCACTAAGCATCATAAAAGAGATGAAGAGCTCTGGGGATTTATAGAGAAGAAACCACTTTTAGTCATCTAGAAATGCATGTCACCATAGCTCCCCTATCTGATTTTAGGTGCCTTATTAGATACCCCTACTCTGGGATTCATATCTCTTTGCCTGCCTCCCTTTCAGGGTCTGCAAAGTCAAAGGTCTGTAGGGTGAGAGGTGGGTAATTACATGACTATAGCTGGGCCAAGGGCAAGGCAATGGGGAAGGTAGGGCCTGTGACCAGTTGCAGAACATAGGAGAATATACCCTTCATCAAAGTGATCAGCTACTACAAGGCTCTAGCTATTAGCTGCTGTTCAAGAATGGAGACCTGTTCATCAGATCCTCTCAGTTTTTAAAAGAAACCAGAAATCTAGATTTTTATGTGATCACATAGTATCTCCCAAATTTCAAATCTAGGCAAATAATGCAAAATTTAAAAAGGCTACTTTGAAGGTAAAATTATGACTTTAAAAATTATTTTATGAGTTATGGGTTACCAATTATATGTATATATAGTGAAAAACAGGAAACAACAAAGCCACACTGATATGGAACCTTGCCATTCAGAGTTCTGTTGCAGCATAATTATCAAAATCCTGGGTCTTTGTGGTGAGTCAGAATGGCTAATTTTGAAAATATTAAAACAACCAATATTAATGGTCTTCTAAAAAGAAATAGAAAAGACGGATTCAGGGTTGAGGCCTTATAGCTACTAAAGAAGGAATTTATTTTTACCTTCTTAGCGATGCACAGTGTTCGAAGGCCATCTCTTGCATACAAGTCTAGATGCTTCTGGGTCCTGGCTCGGATTTTCCTCATCTTCTTTTCCACATCCGTGTCAGTTACTGTCAAATAGTTATTGTTTCCCATGAGGTCATGTACAAATGCTTGGGGATCCTTGTTTCTAACACTCTGTAAGAGTGAGGAAGAATCCCCTTATAGCCCACCCCAGAAATATGGAAGATCTCTCTTCATTGTCATGATGTCCCATGATGTCCCATGATAACTCCAGGAATCATTAAATTCTCTGCTTTCTATATCTGATCATCAAAAGCTTGGCTGAGAAAAGTCCTATTTAGGGATGGTGGGTTGTCTTAGGTATTGTTCCCAAATATGTGTTTGCATCAGAATCACCTGGGAACTTACACAAATAATAGAGGTTCCCAGGTCCAGTTGAAGCCCTGCTGAATCAGGGGACAGAAGTCTGAATCTTTGTTGTTACCTCAGGTGTTTTCCATGTAGCTAGTTTAGCCCTGGGTGATCAACTGTTTGCTAAGTCTTAGACATACCATCCATGATCCCCTCTGTCATCTGCTTCAGTCTTTATACCAACCATGGATAGCCATAGATCTGAATCTCATTGCTAAGTTCTTCATCACATTGGGTTTTTTGAGTTAGGCTTTCTTTCTATAATAGGAAATTGGCCCTAGAAAAAGTATTTTTTGCATTTCCTATAAATCTAGCATGAAAAAATATTTCATCCTGTTGCTCAAAGTTCCCTTTATGAAGTCTGATGTGTTTTCTTTTATCTTTTCCTCCTGAAAACCCAGTACTTTTATCTATCAGATAAAAAGAATTTTTCAGCCTGGGTTGGTGGGTATGGGGCAGGATTGATGCCATCCCTACCTCCTTTACTTAAGATGTCACAGATATCACTGATCAGATGTGGCACTGTGTAAAGCTGAGCTGGGAAAAGCCTTCCAAATCCTTCTTTACCAGGGCTGGACTGCAATCTTTAGAGGCCCTAGGTAGTAAGCAGGTTTTGTGCACCTCATCTATTCCCTTCATATAATGCAAAACTAAACATACAATTCCTTACAGTAAAATAAATATAAGGATGTCCAACAAATCTCTGATTTTTCCCATGATGCTATTCCAAGGCTGTTTCTATGCAATATAAAAATCCTTTTAAAGGTTATCTCATTTTTCAGATACTACTTTTTCCCTGGTGCATTAAGCACACTCTTTGTGCTTATTGAGCACTATTGTCTCATTGAGCACTATCTACAATATTTTATTTTCAAAGACATTACCTCCCTGAGATGAGTCCCTTTTGCCTTCTACTTGTGTGCCTTGGAGTTGCTTTTTTGCTCAGCCTACCAGGAACCTCAGGGTCAAATTGAATGTTCAAACACTGTAAATATATTACACCTAGGGTTATTTTCTTCTCTCCTTTTCAAAGCTTTGATTCTCAATTCTTATAGTAATATTGTGTATGCGTCTTTTATTGGAAGCATCTCTAATCCATTTTGGAATCAGGTGAGGAACAAAACAAAACAAGAAACAAAACCAAAACATCTCCAGGGGAGCTTTGATGGCTGTTGCCCAGGGATAGAGTGCCGTGGTTCCCTTGACTCAGAAACACTGAACTCACTTGTCTGCCAGAGTCTGGGGATGAGGAGACCGAATTAGTTCTCTTCCCATTCTAAACACTCATCAATCCCCATGAACCTCTTGGCTTTGATCCACAGCTGATAATACAGGAGGCACAGGGCTGCCTGGGCAATTCTAAAGCTTGGCTGGAATCTACTATCCTGGGAGAATCATAGCCCCATAACTTCTTCTTGTTAGCAATCAGGAAATGGCTGCACACTAATTCATGCTGCTCCAAAATTGGACACTGATATGTAGGGACTTTGGAACATTTTTCTGGCTTGGCTCAAGTTTTTGAAAATCCATTTGGGGGAGGCTGGGGAAAAGGATGATAAAGAGGCACACCTGAGGCTTCCCAGAGAAAACTGAGCCTGGTACAGAATTCTGGTGGCTTGGAAAAAGCTCTGAACTGGGATTCACAATACCTGGGCCTAGGATTTACCACTGGTTAGCTGTGTACCTCTCTTAAGTCACTTCCCTTTCTGGGTTCAGCTGGCTTCTCTCCAAAACTAAGAGTTAGGACCGCAGTACGTTCTAGGGTATGTTAATGGGTGTCACAGCAGAAAAAAAATTGTATATGGATAATCTGTGTTTAACTGAGTTTGAAAAACCAGAAATTGGGATAAAGTTAAAGAGGTTTCTCCAGTGTAAGACTGTCCTAAGTCTTTAATAAGCTCATGAGCACTGTAATTCTCCAGGGCAAGGAGATGCAGAATGCAGCATGATTTAAAGAACCTGCTTTGAGGGGGCGCCTGGGTGGCTCAGTCGGTTAAGCGACTGCCTTCGGCTCAGGTCATGATCCTGGAGTCCCGGGATCGAGTCCTGCATCGGGTTCCCTGCTCAGCAGGGAGTCTGCTTCTCCCTCTGACCCTTCCCCCTCTCATGTGCTCTCTCTCTTTCTCATTCTCGCTCTCTCAAATAAATAAATAAATAAAATCTTTAAAGAAAATTAAAAAAAAAAAAAGAACCTGCTTTGAGGAAAGCATCTGTTGCCTCTGTTCATATTAGGATCTGCTGGACTAGGTGACACTATAACTCAAGCTCCTTATTACTGTTCTGTGCTGCCTCTTAAACCAAGGAACCCTCTTCCTAGAGCCCTGGTGAGGTGGGACTCACCACACGCCGGGTCTTCCAGCAGGTCCATGATAACCGAGTCTGCGCCCTTGGTGTAGATGATGATCTCACCCGTCAGTGGGTGCCTCACAACCACGGACATTCTTTTCCTGACAGAGTCAAAGCCCAGGGTGCAGAGGACATCGAAGGTAAGGCAGGTGCCCTGGGGCAAGCGCACGGTCACCTGCTCAGGTGTCCGGGACATCAGTGTGAAGCTGTAGGCATGGGCAGCATGCACCAGGGCTGCCTCATCAGGGCTCTCAGCCTCATAATAGAGTTCAGGGCTTGCGAGGCCTAGAGCTGGGGCCTCCAGCACCTCCTCCAAGGAAGCATCCAATCCAGACCCCTGGATGTTGCCCTGGTCCCATGTGCTATTCCTGTAGCCACCGTCGGTGGAGTAGCCTCCACTGTACACAGATGCATCATCTCTCTCTTCTGAGTCTGTGGTAGGCATATTGTCCCCCAGACTCTCCCCTAGGTCAGTGTCAGAGGGCGCAGTAGACGAGAATGACTGGCTGAGGTTCAAAAGCTTCAATCTGTGGAAGAGCTGCTGAATCTTCTCCAGGGACGTCCCCAGAGCCTTGGTCGAAGGTGGCATGGTGACCTTGTGGTCAAAGAAGGGAAGTGGAACATTAACTCTCAGTGTTGGAAAAAATATCAAGCTGTTTTATGGAAGAATATGAAGGTCATTTTGTAATAAAGGGGTTTCAGTGATGATGGACAAGTCTTCTCTCTTCTGTGAGCCTCAGCTCACTTACCTATAGCATGAAGGAATTAGGCTAGATAGTTCTTTCCAGCCCTGACATTCTAGGGATTGGTAATGCTCAATTTTACCATCCTGCTCTGGTCATGGACAAAGGAAAGAAAGGAGACAAAAGCCAGACCCATATTAAGGGTTCACATTATCTGGGTCCTTACCATGGTTTGTTTGCTTTATCCTTGCATTCAGCATCTCATCTCACCCTCCCTAGCAACTCTAGGGGATGCTAAGTTATCCCAACTTCTGGATGAGGAAACCAAGGCACAAAGAGGTTAAATAAATTGGCCATGACCCCCAGTGTGTAGGTAATAGAGCTGCACTCAAATCTGGGGCTGCCTGGCTCCAGAGATTGAACTCCTGAGCTACCTGCCAGCTTACGTATCCCCATTAATTTGAAAATTGAAGTTGGATGCTGTTCTTCCCAAATTGTACTTCTTCCTTTCTTGAAAATAGAGTTAATTTCTCAGATAACATTTCCTACTTCCCAAACCTCCCTAAAAATTTTTGATAGCTTGGTGAGTTTTCAGTGGCTGGAATGACTGTTCAGAGTGGTTTGGGATCAAGGTATAATAATGGGAGGCTCTGGTTTTGTACCTGGGTGAACCTTCTTTTTCCTGATTTCATAGCCACCACTTATAACACTCAATTATTCTCATCAGTCACTCATAAGGAAGCTTGGGTGAGAGTTTGTAGATAATTGAAGATCAATCTATCTTTAGTACTGAAAAATGATTCAGAGTATAAACTTCTATAAATGGCTATCCAGCTGCATTATTTCTAAATTGGCAGAACTTCACCCATGGTGTTAATTATTATTATTATTATTTTGCCCTCACATAAAAGCAGAGACCAGTATAACATGATATTATTATGGAGTTGTACAGATGGTTCTGCTGTGTATTAACCATATATCCTTTGTTAAGTTGTTCAAACTCTCTGAGCCACTGTGTCTTCACTTGTGAAATCCAAGGACATAAATCCTAGGGTTTTGGGGTTGTGATTAAATGGTAATGCAGGTGATGTGTTTAGCATGGAGCCTGACACATAACAAGTGCTTAGTAAATATTAACTCTTGATATCTACCCTATAGACAGACAGATACAGAATTTGAAAGCTACATAGAAAGCTCATATATAACTTCTTCCATTTTATTTAAAAAATGAGGAAACTGAGGCCCAGACAAAATAAGAAAGTCTCACAGTGATAGAATGGTGATGCCGTGACTAGGGCTCAAGTGTCTTATCTCTCTGTTCGGGGCTTTACCCCTTGCCCTAGCTCTCCTCCCATCCATCCCACCACCCACCCTCAGTGATCCTTACCCTCTGCCTGGGCTCTGTGGTTGTGGAGACCATGACAGAGTTGCAGATGGTTAGGGCAAGGAAGAAGTCAGCAATGGAGGAGGTGGTGGAGGGGGAAGATTTGGCAGGTTTGGAGTCTGACAAGGTCTCCAGCCACAGGGCAGCATCTTGCACTTTGGGCAGTAGATTTTTATCTGGTGTCACATCTTTTTCCTGAGAAAGAAAGGCTGGATGAGAATCTTTCCTGAAGGGACTGGGGAGGAAGGGCCCTCCAGCAGATTCTTTGCACACCTGGGGAAAGGATGATACAGTCTTTCCTGAAGTCATGCTTCCAGCACATCTCCTTCTCCCACAGGCCTGGTCAATGCATTCTTAAGTGATTCCTCCCTTTCCCTCAACCTTGCATGTCCATCAGTTATAGACTCTGGCAGCCCTTCCCTCACAGTTGCTCCCTGCCATTTACCCTTCAATGCTGATGCTTTCAGCCAGGCATAGACCTTTAGTCCTCAAATCTGGATTTCTGTATCAGCCTCTGAAGTGATGTTGCTGCCTCTCCTCTCTTTTCTTTTCTAACCCTTCATATGTATTAGCCTATGCATCTTTCTAAAACATCATTTCCCTCAAGGTATTCTCAAGCTTGAAAACATTCAGGAGATCTTCAGTGGTAGCATAGTCAGTTCAGTCTGTCATCTAAATTCTTCATACATAGTCTGCATTCCCACTCTTTACTCCCACTGCTTCTCTGCGCAGACCCTCTGCTCAGCCTGCTGGTTTGTTTGCTGCCTCCTGGATGTATACTTATTTTTAATGCCTCTGATCATACCTTGTTTAAAAAGCCCTCTCCTGTCTACCAAAATCCTACCTAGACTTAAGTAGCCTTGAGAAGTTCCATATGTCCATGAGATCTTATCCAGCCCAAAATGAGTTCTCAGTCTTCTGAGCCACAACAGCATGTTCTTGAACTTATAATGTCCACAGGAGTCCGGTGGATAAGGTGAATGAGGGTAGTGGGCAAGGTACAGATGAGGACACTGTGGGATCGTAGGGGCTATGAGACCTGGCAAGTCCTACCCTGCCTAAAAGGTGGCAACTGTTCTGCTAGTGCGGTGCTCTGGTGTTAGTCCAGTTTGCCAAATCTATTGATTTTTTCAAGATAAAGAGAGATGATGTGAGAACTCATTTTTTTAAAAAGAAAAATCTGTGGGCTGGATCTGACTCATGGGTTTCCAAATTTTCACATCCTTGTAGAAACTACCACTTGTACCGTCCCTTTGGAATTCACCACATATTGACCTATATTTTAAATTCGATTTTCTTGTATCCATGTTGAATTTCTCAAGAGATAAGGTAAGAGCCTCAGAGATAGAGACTGCATGTTCCACAAAGCTGTACATTCTAGAGCCCCAACTATTGCTTTGTTTGAAGCAGAAGCTCAACAAACATTGGCTCTTAACAGATATGACAAAAGCCACTATGCAAAGAAATTTCCACACAAAACCATTTCTATTAGTGTTCATAGTTTATAGGTTAAAGTGTGGAAGAAAGACAGTCAATGGTTGAAAAAGATGGACTGAAGGAATTTTGGTTAATTTGTGCAGGGTGAAGACTGAGTGCCAATGAGCTAGACTGAGTGCCAATGAGCTAGCAGGTTTTACAAATAAGAACCCAAGTTGAGACCAAAAAAAAAAAAAAAAAAGAAAGAAACAAAACCCTGTGGAGATAGAGTCCTCAGACTGTGTCTTCTCTGATTACCAAATGCAGTGACTCCAGAAGTCAGACTCTATTCTCCCTGGGGCTGCTGGCACAGGTGAGAGCACAGGAGACGAAACTCAGACACCCAGGGGAGGTGCTTGATGCCTGTAGGGATGAGAGTTCGGCTTTCCAACAGCACAGGGAGATGAAGGGAAATGGACTGGAGCAGAGTTCCAGCCTTCATTTGGAGTGCTCTCCAAGAGTCAACACTATACTTCCTCTGGTTCATACCATCTTAGGAAGACAACATCCAGAAAAAAGTACTTATTAAAAGGAAGAGTGCTAGTAAAACTGCATCAAGTCTGCATTTCTTCTCATTGCCTTGTGATAAGCAATGGTGAACCATCCATACCATATGGTGTCACTATTTTCAGAAAGCCTAGGAAGGGATCATGCGCTAACATCTTTGCCTTTGAAAGCAGTCTTCTTAGCAGGAGTTCACATTGAAAAAGCTCTTCCTACTTTTCCAAGCCATGTCATTTATGTGACCTCACTGACTTCTCACAGTCCCAACTTAACTGAAACTCAGAAAGATGGGCTGATTTAACCAATGTCACTCAGTGAGTCAGTATAAAGCCAGAATCAGATGTCAGACCCTCTGATCGCAAGTCTAAAGTCTTCCTTTCCTTTCCATGGTCTATGGTAAATAGCAGTGTTCCCTTATTAATGCTCCTTGGCAAACTCCCCTAGCCAGATTTCGGGCTCCACCTACTGCCTGTTATCAGTGTACCATCATCACTCAAGGGGCTCTGAGCTCATTTCTTAAGGTAGTAATGATAGTTCTTATTCACATAGTACTTCTTACATTCTGGGTACATTCATTATCTCATTGTGGCTCCACAGCAACATTATCTGTTGAGTATGATTATTCTCTTGGTTACCCATGTATCAGATGAGGAAACTGCTGCCCAAGGAGATTAAGTGTTTTTCCCAAGATCACTCAGTAAGTGAAAGAGACTCCTTTACTTGATTTGAAACAGTCCAACTAGAATTCATGCTCTTAACCTCTGTGCCAGGCAAGATCCTCCATGAGAAGGAAGTAGCCTTTGATAGTTGCAGACAGCCAGCATCTTTAGTGCTGGGCATCCCAAGCAAAACTAATAGGCTTGTATATCTAATCCTTAGGACTCAGCCGATAGTCTCGGAGATTATAAAAGGGATTATGGGAATCTTCTTTTTTCAGGAAAAAGATTTCATTTGGGGCTGGGGGTGTACATGAATGGGATGCTTTTAACCCTTACCACAGATACACAGAGCTGCAAACAAGCTTGGAGGTCATCAAAGCCAAATCTCCCATTTTCCTGATGATAAAACTGAATGAAGGAGGGGCGGAAGTGAACTACTCAAGACTGCACATTGAATTAGGGTCAGAACTAAGGCAGTTTTCATACCAGCTGACTCCCAGCTTCTGATAACATACTGCTTTGCTCCAAGCTATGCATTACCTATTTCCAAATGGTGACTATGTTAATATGATTTAATAGTTATTTATTTCTTGTTCATTCACCTTTTAGTCTATGAGTACTATGAGGGCAGAGACAGTCAATGATATGTCTCCAGTGCCCGGCAGACTGCAAGCACTCAAACTTTTGTTGACCCCTACCTAGGACACCATGCTACCCCACCACTGATTAAGTCATGGGATCTCTTTTGTTAGAACTCTTTAGAGGTAGAAGGGAAAAGATGGCGGAGGAGTAGAGGACCCTATTCCACCCAGTCCCCTGAATTGAGCTGGATATCTACCAGACCACTCTGAACACCCACAAAATCAGCCTGAGATGTAAGAAGATAGATCTGGATCTCTCCAAGCAGAATATCACAGGCAGTTGGTTTCGAGGTATGAAGCAGGGAGTCGTGATTCTGCAGGCAGATATTGGAAGATAAACAGAAGGGGGAGGGAGCCCAGCCATGGGGATCCTACACCATTGGTGAGTGAAAGCCTCCCATGCGGGGGGCCGGGCACAGACTTGCAGACCACTCGTGGTGGGGAAAGGACTTTAGGGTAGCCCCCTCGGACTGAAACGTGGAGTGGCAGAGCCGTGGGTGCAAATGGGGGTGGCTGGTGGTTTTAGAAGCACAAAGGACAGAGATGTGCCCCGACCTGGAGGTGAGGACTGGGAGTGCTGCTGAGGAGCACACAACCCAGGATGCTGAAGTTTTAAGCAGCACAGACAGAAACGGAGATAGTGTGGCCTGGAGAGCTCACTGAAGAACAGACTGCGATCTCTCTGCTCTGAGGCAGAGGGTTGGAAACGGTCTCTTCTGCTCTGACTCTGGGAAGAGACGGGGAAAGCCTCCAGGGAAAGCCGCCAGAGAACAAAAGCCCTATAAAACCAGTTTTCACTGAGCCCATCCCCCACCACAGGGGGCAGGGCAACTCTGCCCAAATAGGGTTGCCTGAGTAACAGCCCAGCAGGCCCCTCCCTCCCCCAGAAGACAGGCTCGGAGTACAAGAGGCCGACAACCCTAAGCTCCCTATAAAATGGGTGCATCTTGCTTGGGTTGTGGTCAATAATTTGGACTCTGTACACTCCCTCAACCACCCCTCCACAAAATGACTAAGAGGAGGAACCCCCAAAATAGGAAAGACTCAGAGACTGTAACTTCTGCCACAGATTTACAAATGGATACAGATATAACCAAGATTTCAGAAATGGACTTCAGGTTAACAGTTATGAAGACAATAGCTAGAATGGAGAAATCGATTAATGGCAACACAGAGTCTCTCAGGGCAGAAATGAAAGCTGAACGGGTAGAACTTAAAAATGTTATCAATAAGATCCAATCTAGTTTAGATACTCTAACAGCTAGGGTAAACGAGGCAGAAGAATGAATTAGTGATCTAGAAGACAAACTGATAGAAAAGAAGGGAAATGAGGGGTCTTGGGAGAAACAGTTTAAAATCCATGAAAACAGAATTAGAGATGTAGGTGACGCCATGAAACATTCCAATGTCAGAATTATTGGAATCTCTGAGGGGGTGGAGAGAGAGAGAAGACTAGAAGATATATTTGAGCAAATCATAGCTGAAAACTTCCCTAATCTGGGGAATGAAACAAACATTCATGTCCTAGAGGCAGAGAGGACCCCTCCCAAGATCAAGGAAAACAGGCCAATGCCTTGGCATGTAATAGTAAAACTTGCAAATCTTAGAACCAAGGAAACCATCTTAAGTGCAGTTAGGGGGAAGAGGTTCCTTATGTACAGAGGGAGGAACATCAGAATAATGTCAGACCTATCCACAGAGACCTGGCAAGCCAGAAAGGGCTGGCAAGACATATTCAGGGTACTAAATGAGAAGAACATGCAGCCAAGAATACTTTATCTGTCAAGACTGTCATTTAGAATGGATGGAGAGATGCAGAGCTTCCACGACCGGCAGAAACTGAAAGAATATGTGACCACTAAGCTGGCCCTGCAAGAAATATTAAGGGGGATCCTATAAGGGGAAAAAGACCCCA